TTCAAGTAAAAAAAATTGGCATTACTGCAAATGGAATGCTTTTCCTGATTTATTCCTCAGATGAATTAACTGTTGGAGTATAGGAAAGCTATTAATTTATGGGTGTTGATCTTGTATCCTGCTACATTGCTGAACTCATTAATTGCCGCAGTCTGGCTGGGCACAAATAACCGAGCTGCCACAAAGCACTTGTATGTTCAAACATGAAACTGTATTGCCCAAACTCCACCAGCACTCCACGCACACTTCCGGGGAACTCTCCCAGCTCTCCACCAGGCTCCACCTTATTCTCTCGGACCCGGAGAACTCAATGGGAACTCCAGGGGCGTCTGAGGCAGCAAGAGCCGCCCTATTGCCAGACAGTAAAGGTCTATATACAATTGAATACAAAGCTTAACATAACCATCATCATCTCAATGGCTCGCTGGCCTTACCTCTCAACCATTCCCTTCTGGCAAAATGCCATGCGTCATCTCCACTTGGCTGTGGCCCTCAACAATTTATAAACTCTAGAAACTCTAGAAGTCTTCTGGTGGAGTTTTTTGGGGGCTTTTAGATAGGTTCATGTCATTGGCAAACAGAGGCAGTTTGACTTCTTCTTTTCCTCTTTGTATCCCTCTGATTTCCTCTTCTTGCCTGATCACTCTGGCTAATGTTCCAAGAACTATATTGAATAGAAGTGGTAAAAAGAGTAAACAGCCTTGTCTTGTTCCTGATTTTAGAGGAAATGCTTTTAGTTTTTCTCCATTCAGTATGAAGTTGGCTTTGGGTTTGTCATAAAAAGCCTGTACGATGTTGAAGCAAGTTCCTTCCATCCCTAGCTTCTTTTTTGTAACATGAATGGGTGCTGAATTTGATCAAAAGCCTTTTCTGTATCTATTGAGATAATCATGTAATTCTTGTCCTTAATTCTGTTTAAGTGGTGAGTTACATTATGTTGAACCAAACTTGCATCCCTGGAATGAAGAGCCCACTTGATCATGGTATATTATCTTTTGATGTCTTTTTAAAATGTGTTTTGCTAATTTTTATTAAGGATTTTCATCAGGGATATTGGCATATAATTTTCTTTCCTTGATACATCTTTGTCTGGTTTTGGTACCAGGGTTATACTGGCTTCACAAAATTTATTTGGGAATTTCCCTCTCTTTCAATTTCATGGAATACTTTGAGAAAGACTGGTGTTAGTTCTTCTTAATGATCTTCTAGAAATCAGCTGAGAATCCATCTGATCATTGGCTTTTCTTTTTTGGAAGGCTTTTAACTGATGTTTCAATTTCATTACTTGACATTGGTCTGTTTAGATTTTTTTATATCTTCCTGATTCACTGAGCAGGTCATATATGTCTAGAAATTTGTCAATGTCTTAAGATTCTTCAGTGTAGTAAAGTTTTTAAAATAGGATCTGATAATCAGCTGGATTTCAGAAGGTTCTGTGGTAATATCTCCCTTTTCACCTCTCATAGATTTTTCTCTTTCTTTTGGTTAGTTCAGCTAAAAAATTTATTAATCTTTTCAAAGAGCCAATTCTTCATTGCATGATCCTGTGTATTATTTTCTTATTCTCAATTTCATTGATATTTACTCTGATGTTAATTATTTCCTGTCTTCTGCTGGCTTTTGAATTAGTTTAGACTTCTTTTTCTAAGCCTTGAGTGGAGCATAAGCTTATTTATTTGGAATCTCTCTATTTTCCAAGTTTCTTCAGTTATTTGTTTTGATGTTTATTTGCTTGTTTGGTTGATTGGTTTTATTGTTGTGGTTTGGTTTGGTCTACTAAATTAAAATGCAATATGGGCAAGTACTCTTGAAAAAGACCAATCTTGATCTTTAGCAATTTCTTTGAAGAGAACATGGCAGTCACTGACTCAAATGGTATGAAGATTTATTTCTCTAGTCACTCAAACCACAGAGAACTCTGGTCTAATAAAAAATTTTCACTCTTCTTTTTTTTTTTCTTATGGTGCTTTTCAGATATCAAGCTTTTATTCTGGGTAATTATGGGCCTGGGTGGTGAGCTCCATCAAAAGCTACTCTGGCTTCTCAAAAAGTGGGTCTAGCTTTAGAAACATTATAAAGTTTGCATCTTAATAGCCTCAGCAGCTGATTTTTATTTTCTTATTCTGGGAAACTGTACACATCACTGAAACAGGGCAGGGGAGTGTATATGTGTATATTAGACATCTGTTTCTGTGCCCTGCTTTAATTTACACAAAGGGGAACTATTTCTCTCTCCTTTTTGAATTCCCAACTTCATTTAATACTTTTTATATTCATCATTTATTCTGGTTGAGGGATTATGATAGCAATATAATTTTCAAATATAACTGAGAGTTTAAATAGAGCATGTTCAATCAACTAAAATGCTTTATTTTGCTGGTATATAGTGGTCTCTGCAAAATGTCTTGAGCACACAACTCTCAAGAAGTAGTACAAGATTTGTACAGTATATGTAGTTATATATTATATGTACATGTGCTACTAGATTAATACATTATGTGTAGCTCAAAATATAGATTTCTCAAGAATTTTATAAAGATGTCTTTTATTTAGTAATGACAAATAACTTTTTGCTGTCACTAGAAATTATTAATAATATTTAACAAGAATAATGTGATTTAGGGGCTGGGGATGTGGCTCAAGCGGTAGCGCGCCATGCCTGGCATGCGTGCGGCCCGGGTTCGATCCTCAGCACCACATACCAACAAAGATGTTGTGTCCGTCGAGAACTAAAAAATAAATATTAAAAAAAAAATGTGATTTAAGCTAATTTATTATTTCAGAACATATTGGTTAATCCTTTGTGATTGAGCAATTTAAAGTTCAATTTGCTTTGATACATGATTTTAACAACTGTTAAAGATACCTCATAAAATTATGTAGAACTAATGAGAAAAAGTCATTGGGGCCCTAATACCCTCAGTTTTTAATTCTATCCTCTGATAAGGCAAAGGTTTAAAGGTTTTCAATTTTTAATTATTACTATTTTGTTATTGCTAACTGAAATTTAGCTAATATATTTTCTGATATCAATTTTATATCAGTTTGTTGCTCTTGAAAACTTATTAACCTTTTGAATTCTTGTATTTAAAAAAAAATATGTCCTAAAGCCATTGATATTTTGCAAGTTTTTTTCTAAAGCCAGTTAGGATATTCCATTTCCATATCTAATGTGTAGACAGTCCATCTACATATTAGCAAATATGTAGATGTGAAGAGTTATAATAAGTGACACATTATTTTTAAAAATAAAATCACATTTACAAATATCTACTTTCAAAAAATGCTCTCCTTGTAACAGGTTTCTTCCAGAAACAGTTATTTTCTCACTTATTGTCAAAACACTGCTTCTACCTTGAAGGGCTATATTTAAGTATATTTTTCAAAAAACCTCTGCAAGATAGCATCTACTAAAACCATTTAGCACATCAAGGTCACCTAGTTTGGACAACTTGTCTTTCTGCAAAAAGAAAATGGGTAACAATTTTTAGTCCCTCTTATTAAAAACAACCTCTGTGTGGGAGAAATATTGGTATTCATTACCCATCTCATTACAAAGTATATAAAAAGGTACTAGCATACTTTAAAGAACTTATTTGCACACAACCAAGTAATATTATCCTTTGGTACTGTGTATGCATCTGGCTTTAATGTCTTTGTTCTTCAATAGCTCATTCAATAGCTTGCTTGTGAGTGCTGCAGCCAATGCATTTCATATATGTCACTGTTAATGATAATGAGTGCAAATCCTTATTCAAATAACCTGCTTCATTATTTCTACTGAGTAGGGCTGGCTTCTGGACAGATTCCATTAAATTGCTTTTATCCCAAATGGGAATATCTGCCAGATGTCTCCCAGTATCCATTCTCTCTCCCTCTTCCTCAGTATCAGAACCTGTGAACGGGCCTATAACTTTCCAGAGCAAACCTCACATTTTCCAAGCCCCTCCTACTTTCTCCCTTGCAGACACAGCCTTGAATCTACATTGTAAGTCCTGGGATGTAAGTAGGAACAATATATAGCCTTAGAAGAAAGGGCAGCTCTCCTGCCTCCTTTCCTTCTAACTACCTAGAATTCAGATTTGATGGCTGTAACTTAAGCAACCATCTTGAAGCAAGAAAGAGAAGCCAGGCATTATTAGGGCAGCCAGAGCAACAAGAAGGGGGACCTAGGACCTTCATATCTATGTTGTTATCACTCAGGCTTGAGTTGCCTATATTCATGTGTGAGAGAAATACACTTACGTCTCTTTGAGCTTCTAGTATTTAGGGTTTTCTGTCTCTCCTTGGTATGCTGAACCCTTATTAATACACCTGGTGACGGCCTGATGAAGCACTCATGCTAGGTGTCGGAGCACAGACAGTTCTGCCATCTCCTCACATCCACAGGTGCTTCCTCATTAACATAACCTTCAATCTGCAGTTTCCTAACAGGAACTGCTTTTGAGCCACTCGTCCATTTAGTCAGAATTAGTTTTTAAGAACTACATAATAGAATATTTAAATTGACTTTACCAGGTTAGTGTAAACTACAATCTCTGTCAGCAGATTAGAAAGCAAATCAATGAGGAGGCCATTACTAGGCACTTCCAGCTTTTCTTCCAACAAGTCAAGAACCACGCATAATCTGCATTTGACAAATACAGACCATAGGAGACCACTGGTGTCCCTGGTAAACAGAAATAAAGTTTTGGTATTTTGCTTGACACATAAATATATGGAGTTCTGCTTCCTTCCTGCTCCTTTCCTGCCACTACCAACAATGTTTTCAAGCATCTGCCAGGTGAGCAGCACTCCACCCACCTTAAGGACATCCTCAGGCTGTGGATGGACCCATACCTAAATACAGGCTTCCTTCCTGCATCACAACATGATGCTATGACATGGAAATGTCCCAAAGTGAAAAATCTGCACAAGTAAAAATTTTCCATAAAAACTGAAAACCCATGAAGCAAATGGTAAATCAAAGGGTGGATGGATGTAAAGATTTGGTGCTTTACCTGAATACCTCGAGAACAGTCCTTTCAGGTAATTTGGGAGCCACAAGCCTGAAGGCTCTTTGGAAATCTTCCAAAGTTAAAAATCCACGATCTATTTGAAAACAAAATATATCATGTTCAATTATTTTTATAAACCCTGTGAACTATTATTTCATACTTAATATTTATGTGAAACTTTATTTTAATATGTTATTGGGAGAAAAGCAGTACATTAACATTTGAATTTACAGATAAGATAATCTAAGGTTGAGCTGGGGTTGTGGCTCAGTGGTAGAGCGCTCGCCTAGCATATGTGAGGCCATGGGTTCGATCCTCAGCACCACATAAAAAATAAATAAATAAAATAAAGATATTGTGCCCAGCCAAAAAAATAAATATTTTTTTTTCTTAAAAAAAGATAATCTAAGGTTGTCTCAGTGGAAGAATTTGCAAATCTAGCAATACTCTCCCCTTCAGCGCAGTCCCAGTGATCTCGCATCACTTCTAGCCCTGCCATTTTGCTGATTCTCTAAGTCCAGGGGAAAGGACCAGATGCAGACATGACTACAATAATGGAATTGGGCTTTGAGTCATTGTGAATTGTCAAAACTGTTCAGTCTTCAAATTTTATTTTATTTTAGTTTTGAGGGGAAATTCATAATAGCAGGAGAGACACTCTAATCCATAAGTCCTCTCCTCCTGGATGAGATCTGTGGGGCTGGGGGGTCTGTGGCCACCCTTCTCAGCCAAGCCCAGTGTGGGAAGACAACTCTTCCAATTGTGTGAGTCAAAGCAGGAGCTGAAGGAGACAGCTGCAGGGTCTCCCATACTCCCCAGCTGGCTGTGACCTATATCCCTACACAGCCAACCCTTTGCTGCCAACTGCACAATATAGGTACAATCTGTGAGTACACATTACAGTATCCAAGCACAATTACATAACCACAAACATTATTTCATCCTTAGAATGTGCCAAGAACTTAAGATTGCAGTGGAAAAAAAAATTCACACCAATACCTAAGGTAATAGCTAAAGACTACAATAAAATAATCTTCCAAGTATACTGTACGTTTGGTTTACTGAGTATATATTCTCATTCACAATTTCTTAGCAGAAACTTTCTATCAAAACATTTCAAACACTCTGAAGACACTTACAGTGTATGTCAAAAGCTGTGAAGATGTGTCTTATCTCATTGTGATATAGTTGAACTTCCTTCTTTTTCCTTATGATATTTAAAAACTCCTCAAGCGATACACCTAAAAGTTGGGGAAGATAATTTGCCAAAGATGACTGTTTTCCTCTTTAGAAAAAATAAAACAGATGTGAACAGTAATAAATATTACAATCAAACTTTACCTTAATTTTGGAGAATGGTATTTACTCCTAAACAAAGTCAAAGAGACATTTTGCTACATGCTAAGTAAATCCAGCCCTAGCAATCAACAGTGAAAATGATAGATACCCTTGGGGTCCACCATGCCATTGCAAGGGACAAAGGAATGGTGACCTTGAAAAAGTTTAACACTCTTTTCTCTAAAAGATCTAAAGGACAGGCAAGAAACTACTCATTAAACGATGTCTCATAATTTTTTCTTTCCTTATGCTTCTTTGATCCCTTTTTTCCTAGCCAGATGTCATATCGGCAGGTTTTTTTCCAACTGGGAGATCAGGTCAGAGAAGTAGTTTCTCAAAAGTCAATACCAATTGCACACCACAGATAAAGGTGGAGAGAATATTACATAAACAATAGAGCTGGCACCATCCCCAGCCGTGGATACACCCCACAATGTGTTCAGCAGCCTGGGGCTCAGCTTCCTGCGACTCTCATAATAAAAGAGCCCAGCATGATGATATGAGATTGGATACTGTGCTTACAATGTCTATTAAAATGAATTCTAATGTGATCTTTGTAGTAGGTTTAAGAAGCAGAGCCAAGAATTTAAACATTTTAGTGAACTGCATTCTAAATATATAAAAAGAGCAGTTCATTTTTATAATGCAGGATTTCCATTAAAAAAAGTTATCACTCTGTTTTAAAAATAGCCCTAAATCATACTATAACCATAAGTAACCTTTTTCTTTGGGTGGGGTAACTAATATTGTGCCATATGTCATTCCTAAGACAGTTCCTATAGCTCAAAACATGTTGAAATAATTTTCTTAATTTCTCATGCTTTTATTTGTAAAGATTTATAAACTTTAAAAAAAAATCAATCAAGCTTTATGTTTTTAAATTATTCTGGTTGTTTTACAACTTTAAAAATTTTTTTTAGTTGTCAATGCACCTTTATTTATTTATATGCAGTGCTAAGAATCGAACCCAGTGCCTCACACATGCTAGGCAAATACTTTACCACTGACCTACAACCCAGCCCTATTTTTAAAAAATATTTTATTTTTTAGTTGTAATTGGACACAACACCTTTATTTCACTTGTTTATTTTTGTATGTGGTGCCGAGGATCGAACCCAGGGTCTAGCACGTGCAAGGCGAGCGTTCTACCGCTGAGCCACAACCCCAGCCCCCAGCCCTCTTTGACAACTTTTTAAGATCCACTGTGTGCCAGGCACTGTATTAAGCTCTGGGAGTAGTGGGGAGAAGAAAATATACATGGCCCCAGTTTCAAGGGTAATACTATTTAGTGGGGAGACCACCATTATTCAGGTTCAACTGCAAACACATAATTGCAGATTGCAGCAACCAGGGAGAAACAGGAGGTTGTCAAGAGAGTCCCTGGAATCCTCTTGTAGCACAGACTCTGGTCGAGGAGAAAACTCTCAAGAGGAAGAAACATTTAAGCTACCATCATGAAATGATACCAGCTAGCTAAAGAAGGAGAAGAAGAGCAATTCAAGCAGTGGAAACAACATGTGCAAAGGTGGTGGGCTGGCCAGGTGGGGAAATGAGAAGATGCCACCTGCCTGGACCATGTTGAGCAAGAGAGAGTAATGCAAGACGAGGTGGGTGAGAGAGGCAGGGCAGGGACTCCCACAGGCCCTGTGGGCAGCAGCAGATAATTCGGATTTTATTTAGGCTGCAGTAGAAAGTCAGTCAAAGATTTAAATTAAGAAGTGATATGATTTAATTTATATTTCCAAAAGATCTTTCAGGGTATTGTCTTGGGAAAAAGGATTGGGGAAGAAGCAAAAATATAAAAAGGGAGACCAGTTAGGAGACTACTGGCAAGAGATGTGGTTGTTGGGGTGCTGGTGGGCACAAGGAGGAGGTGTCCACAATGTTCTAGAATAGAAATGACACAACTTGATAATGAATCGGATGTGGCAGGTGAGAAAGAAGATGTCAAGAATAACCCGCAGCTTCTGGACTGACTGCTAGGTACTTTGAGAAGTCATTTAAAGAGATAAAAAGACGAGGGAAGATAGGCTTTGGGGTGAGATGAGGAACTGTGTTAGGATGTGTGAAGTGCTCAGTGCTTTGGAGCCAAAGAGGAGGAAAACGTGGAGGCGGCAGCTGGCTTTCCTCTAGGCAACAAGGCACATGTCCCGGCACCTAGAGGAGCGTCTGGCAGGTATTCCTATGTATAAGCATCCCTTGGTATCTGTCGGGGACTGGTTCCAGAAACCCTCAAGGATACCACAATCCAAGGATGCTCAAGTCCTTTATATAAAATGGCACAGTATTTGCATATATCCTCTGCACATCCTCCCATATACTTTAAGTCATCTCTAGATTACTTGTAATACCTAATACAATGGAAACTCTGTATAAATAGTTGTTACTGTGTTGTTTAGGGAATAATGGCAGGAAAAAAGTCTGCACACGTTGGATATAGATGCAATTTTAAAAAAATCTATTCCATCTGTGGATGAGTGAAGCTTGGCACCTGCGGATGCAGAGGGCTGACAGTACTGCATTGAATCAGCATATGCAACATTTTCCCCCCAGTAGTTGCTTAGAGATTGATGCTGCTCCATTCCATCTAATCACTCCTGTGACCAGAGAACATACCTCAGAATGCCAGGTGAGGTTAAAACTGAAGTCAGGTCATGCATGTTCCCTTAAGTTCATATCTATAACTTTAGTTTCATGAACTCCAAAAACTAATTATTGAAATAGCATCTAGAGTTGTTGAAACTCATGGAAACTTTATCCACTGATGATGGCGTGTTCAATGAGATACATCACAATCTTACCCTTTATACCTCTCCAAAGAGGCTTTTAGCAGCCAGTAACTTTGCACCTGTAAACACACTATCTGGAAAGTCCCTTCTCCTTTATTTCTCCTAGTGAAGTTTTACATCTCCTTCTACATGAAATTCAAACGCTGCCTCCTCTTAGAAGTCTTCTCTGGTTCCTCTTGACTGGGTCCCTTTGCTGTGACTGACAGTCCGGTGTTCACACACAATTGTCAAATTAATTAGAATCTATGGTAATTCTTTGGAGACAGGTCTGCTTCCTGGGAATACAGTATGCATTGCTCACAATTTCAGCCCCAAGTTTAGCATGGTGTCTAGACTTCATACACAGGCATTCATCACGCATTTGCTGAAAAAGTAATGTGACGAATAAGAATGAATGAGTATGAGCGACCATGAAGATGTTTTCTAGATGATTTCTAGTTTGGGGCAAAAAGTTAAAATGCCTGTTTTAAGTTATCTTATAACTCAGTAAACTAGTGCCTCAAAGTAGGTCACTTTTTATTCACATAGCCAGCAAAATTGGCAGTCATTTTAGAACTCCTGTCTTTATTGGTGCATACTAATTATACAGAATGGCAGGATTCATTGTGGCATATTCATATGTACATAAAAACATCCTTTGATAAATTTCACTAACACATTCCCCCCTTTCCTTCCTCCCTCCCCTAATCTTCCTCTGCCCTAATGTGCTCCCTTCAACCTGCCTGGTGTATTTTTCTCCCCTCTTGCTGTCACGTGACAGAAAACAAATGACACTTTTCTGACTTATTTTACTCAAAATTACGATCTCCAGATCCATTAGAGTTTTCCTGCAAAGGACATAACTTCATTCTTTATGGCTGAGTAAAAAACTCCATTGTGTATACACACCATATTTTCTTTATCCACTCATCTGTTGATGGGCATTTAGGCTGATCCCATAACTTGGCTATTGTGAATTGTGTTGCCATAAACATGGGTATGCAGGTGTCTCTCAAGTAAGCTGACTTTAATTCTTTTGGATGAGTACCAAAGAGTGGTATAGCTGAATCATATGGCTGTTCTATTTTTAGCTTTTTAAGGAACCTCCATACCGATTTCCATAATGGCTGTACTCATTTACATTCCCACCAGCAGTGTGTGAGAGTTCCTTTTCCCTGCATCCCTGCCATCATTTACTGCTATTTGCATTCTTGATGATTGCCATTCTAACTGGAAAAACTTCTATTTTAATACATAGTGACCTAGTGAAAAAAAACAAACAAAATTCAGAGATAAAGGCAATGCATGCATAATATCTGTCCTTTATTCATTATTGCATCTGACTTACAGAAAAGATGGGGGGAGCTCGATTCCATGGTTCAATGTGTGATTCACATGAAAAACAGAACCATATGAGTGGTGCTATCTTTTAAATTACATGTTCAAATGACACATCAGTATTGGAGCTATAAGGCATTCAAGTCTTTATTCCACAATCTCATAGAATAAAAATCAAATGTTCTTTGGTTTTTACTAGGAGAAAATGTATGTGGATTTAAATTCTGTTTATTACCACTTTAAAAGAGAAACACAAATAACTGTGTGTATAATCGTTCTTTCATGCTATTTTCTCACAGAACCATATAACTTCTTTTTTCAAGTCAATATCTAGGGGTCAAAGGCATCGATTACATATTACACTGTGTAAACACACCCCTCTCCACATGCCCTCATGTCATCTTCCAAGGCAAAACACATCCAAATGCAAGCCCCTTTTCTAAAAAGATGGAGAAGTTTTTATTCAGCTTGGCTCTGCTGTTGTAATAATACGATTGCTTTCCAAAGCTAATACTTAATAATTTACTATTCCTACAGCTTTGTAATGCAAACACATTAATGTAAGTTTTATGTATCTTGCTGCTTTTTAAATGGCCTAGAAATAGAATTGCTACAACTAGCTCCACCTGCTGTCAAAATAGTCAAACCTGAAATTACCATTTCACAAAGACTTTCAATAATTCTACTGACATCAGATTTCATACCCAATGAGAAATGCATTATCTGTGTCCCCCCCGGAGTGAAAGAATATGTTCAGGAAATTCTAATTTCAAACATAATCTTACATCTTCTATGTA